ATCAAAACGAAACAACAACAAAAAGGAAATAAAAACAACAAACTAAACTAGGCCACTAACGTAGGGAAACACGATTGCATTTAGCATATGCAACAAGCCTTTGAACCCCTGGGTACCCCCAAAGGACGAGTTGTGTCTCGTGAGGGTTTTCAGACAACACACTCACAAAGTTGTCGGATTGGTCAAAGCATTGCAATTAATTCCAAAGATAAAACGAGCTAGATAACTTAAAATCTTAGAATGGCATACGGCTTAAGGTATTCGACTTTCCTACCGACGCAATTAGTTGTTTCTACACCAAAATGAAAGATAGAGTCAAGAATCCGTAATTAAGCAATAAACACAATCATCGAGGGTTTTGAGTAGAAATGTGGGTGAAAAGCAAGTTTTGATTCTGAAATTCAAAAACTCGAGTTGGGCATAAGTAGGTCTATTTATTCAATAAGAAACGATAACAACAATATTTTTGGTGATTTTCATCACAATCTTTTTTCTTTTTTTCATTTTTTTTTTAAAATGGGCATAATTGTGACTCATGCAAGGCTCGACACCACTGTGTTATCTCCCTGACCCATGTATCGAACTTTAGTCCAAGAAACCCCCAAGCTCGACAGCTCGAGAGACTTAGGCAACGAGGTGCACCCAACGGGTTAAGCTCGAGTCAGAAAGGCGGGGAAATCAGAGCGTGAATCACAACAAAACCACAAATTATTATTTTTCTCTTTTTCTCTTTTTTTTTTTTTTTTTTTAACAATATAACACAAAAAACGTAAAGACCATAGATAGAACTTTTAGCCAACAACTGGAAATCGTGAACACATAATTCAATTCTAACTCGCCCCCCACACCTCAGACTATTATACCCCTCAGAAAAGTGCGCTCAAGCTTAATCGGAAAGGATTCGAAAGGCTATCCACACCAGTTGCAAAAACGCAGTCGGAAGGTTCATCAATAATTAGCCGGTTATCCATAATTTCAATTTTAAAATCAACTAGCCCATCTACTAATTCATTAATTGCTTTGCTTCAATAGAACCCGTAAATGCAAATTACACTCGATCCTAAATGAAATGCATGTGACAAACATAACACAATTACGGAAATCGAAATACATAAACGAAACTAAATATCATGATATGCATGCTAAAGACCAAATCAAAATAAGATAATTAAAATAAAATAAAAACAAAGTCTAGCAAAGATACATCGTAAACGAAATATCAATCCAACGACTTATCCCAAAACAAACGAACTAAAAACAAAAACAAAAATTAAAGAGGTTCAACAAACACCACCCTCAAACTTAAACTCTAGCATAGTCCCTATGCTCAAAAGCAGAATAAAAAATAAAGGGGATAGAAAACACAACGTCCCTAGAAGTCATAGTCTTCCTCGATAGCTCGGTCCTCGTCCTCTCGAAGTCCACGCTCGTGCTCCTCCCAGACGGGCCTCACCAGTGTGGTGGCTGCTGCTCGTGCAGCTTCTTCTGCGGCTGCGGTGGAGGTAGATGCTCCGTCAAAACGAGGCTGTGGTGGGAATGGTCGTGGCTCGACGACGTCGTCCGTCCTGCACTGGAGTGCAGCTGCCATCACCTTGATCATCTTCTTGAACCAGCCCACGTTCTCCTCCATAGCATCCATCCACTCGGTCATATACTCCGGAAGTGGCGGAACTGCTGCTGCTGCTGTCTGCTGTCTTTTTCCGCCTCATGGTGCGGCTCGGACTGGTCGGGAATCCTCGGACGGTGGCGCGTCTGGCTCAGGGCCATCGCCCTCGCCCTGTGGACCGGAAGTTGGCTGGAGTTAATCGAACGGGAAGATTGGCTTCGGAGCCTTTGTGACCTTGTCGTCGGCAAACATCGCCACGTTGGCATTTTTGCATAAGGCGGTGATGAGGGAGGGAAACATCGGCCCCAAAGAGGTGTCGCCCATGCACCGTCAAATCTCTGAGTGGATAATGGCACCCACGTTCAGAGGGGTGACCTTCATGATTGCGTATATCAACGTGAGGCGAGTGGCATAGGGCGGGGCCGTTGCAACCGTCGGCATGAGTCGGGAGCAGACAAAATACATCCAAATCTTTGCCTCCCTCGAGAGCTCGGCTCGATAGAACCACTTATCTCCTGATGCCCAATACGATCCTCGGGGGCACGGGGCCTGAATGAGGTCCTTGTACGTCGTCTCCATCTTCAGTGCCTGGAACGGCTCAGTCGTGATGTCCGGAACACGGGGGGGGATAAGCTTGTAGACTCGGTTGATGGCTTCAGCATCATAACGAACTTCGACGCCCCGGATGAAAACCACCGAGCCTTTGTACTGACCGGCATTGGCTTAGAAGAGCCGGACCAAGTTCTCGTTGTAGGTTCCTGGTTTGTCGACGAGTACTCTCCAACACCGTTCTTGGATGTTGTTGACGACCGAGGGGCATCCTATCGTACGGACACACAACTCACGCTCTGGGACGATCGAACGAGGGAGGCGGTCGATAAATTCGCTCTTGGCTTCGACATTCACATAGATGTCTTCATCGTCTTCGTCGAAGGTGACGTCGCTCACGAGTGTGCGTTGATTGGCTCGGGCGCCCGTGTTGAGTGGCACGTCACCGGTTCTTGGAATGGTTTGCTCTATTTGTCCCTCCGAATGTGAAGGCGAGTGTGAAGAGCCTTCTTCCCCCTTTTTGCCTTGAGCCTTTCCCTTCTTCTTTTCCGATGCTTTTCCTTTGCCCTTCGGTTGGGCTTTCTTGGAATTCTCGCCCGTCTTTTGGAGTTTGTTTGCCGGTGAAGTCATGGTGTGAATGAGGGTGAAAAATGAAACTTGAAATTGGTTCGGACAATTCGTCGAACACTTGGCGTGCGCAAGTTCTTTGAAACTCCTTGAATGTTAGTTTCTTTAAAAAACTAACCCTCCTACATCAATCACCACAACAACAATAATTAATAACGATCAACGAGCAAAAATTAGCATAATATGACTCGACCCATTCAAAAATTCACAAGAAATTCGAAATTAAGCATAATAGGGCAATTCCTATATCTAAACATTGGTTCAACCAATTAAACAAGCCTTTAAATCCCAAAATCAAGTACCTAATTACGTACAAGCAATAAGAATTGAAGAACCAAGGGACAAAACAAGAAAATTGGATGAAATTCGAATTTTCAAGCAAAACTTAAAAATTTGGGTCAAGAACATACCTTTGTTGAAGATTCGTTTACAATTCTCAATAACAACAAGCAATAATGTTAATAGTTGATGATAATCTAAAAATATGCAAGTTTGAAGAGGAAATTTGAAAGAAAATCGAAGTTCTAGGGTTTGGGGGGGTGTTCGAATTTTGAAAATAAGGAAGTGAGAAAAAGAGAGGGTTTTTTTCATATAAGTACAGTTTTTGCCCCCAGATCGCGATCTAGAAGTTCCAGATCGCGATTTGGGTCCGCAACTTTTAGCCTCTGTAAGACCCCCCAGATCGCGATCCGACTTCCTGGATCGCGATCTGGATCTGACCCCTAATTGCTCTCTGTAAGACCCCCAGATCGCGATCCGACTGCCTGGATCGCGATCTGGATTTACCTCTATTTGCTCTCTGTATAACATCCCAGATCGCGATCCGGGTGTGTAGATCGCGATCTGGTTCCGCTCCAATTTCACCACTGTAAGACCCCCCAGGTCGCGATCCGAGGTGCTGGATCGCGATCTAGGTCCTGTAATCTGCACAAAATTTGAAATTTAAACGGGTGAGATAGAGATATTGAACCCAAAAAAATATAAAAATGCAAGAAAAGACTAAAAACGAAAACGAAAGCAAGAACAAAAGAAAAAATGACACAGAATGAGCAATAATGGGGTGCCTCCCATTTAGCGCCTGTTTTACAGTCGACGGCTCGACTTCTTTTGGATTTATTGGGAGAAAATTAGTGCGACACGCTCCATTTCCTCGGGAGCACCATTCGGATAGTAATGCTTAACTCGTTGCCCATTCACTTTGAACGACGGACCATCTCGTCCTCGTATTTCGATAACTCCTTGTGGGGTTGCGCTCAGGACTACGAATGGTCCTGACCAACGGGACTTGAGCTTTCCCGGAAATAGTCATAGCCGAGAATTGAATAGAAGGACTTGGTCACCTGCCCGGAACTCTCGCTTTGTAATCCTTTTGTCATGCCACTTTTTCGTCTTTTCTTTGTAAATCTTGGCATTCTCATAAGCATCGTTTCTGAACTTCTCCATTTCGTTGAGTTGAAGCAATCGACGATCGCCGGTGGCTGTTTGATCGAAATTGAGCTTTTTGACTGCCCAATAAGCTCGGTGCTCCAATTCGACTGGCAGGTGGCACGCTTTCCCAAACACGAGTTTGTACGGGGACATCCCAATCGGTGTTTTGAATGCGGTTCGATAGGCCCAAAGTGCATCATCGAGCTTCAACGCCCAATCTTTTCGGTTCGTGCTCACGGTCTTCTCCAGAATCTGTTTGATTTCTCGGTTTGACAACTCAGCAAGGCCATTTGTTTGCGGGTGATAAGCTAACGCAATTTTGTGTCGGATCCCCAACTTGTTCGTGAGATCAGTGAGCAGTTTGTTGCAGAAGTGAGATCCTTCGTCGCTAATGATCGCCCTAGGTGTCCCAAACCTTGAGAATATGTTCTTGTGGAAGAATTTGAGGACCGTACAAGCATCGTTGGCTGTGGTGGCAATTGCTTCGACCCATTTGGACACGTAGTCCACGGCAAGCAGAATGTATAACTTCCCGTTCGAAGACGGGAATGTTCCCATGAAATCTATGCCCCAAACATCGAAAAGCTCCACCTCTTGCATGTTGTTCAAAGGCATTTGGCTTTTGTTCGATAGGTTCCCTGTTCGTTGGCATCGATCACACCATTTCAGGAACTCGTAACTATCACGGAATAGGGTTGGCCAAAAGAAGCCTGACTGCAGAACCTTGGCGGCTGTGCGAGATTCCTCGTGATGCCCGCCACAAGGTGAAGAGTGGCAGTGCGTGAGAATCTCACGTACTTTTGTTTCCGGAACACATCTTCGGATGACACGATCGGGGCCGGTTCTGAAAAGCAACGGCTCGTCCCATAGATAGAAACGACTGTCGTGAAGGAATTTTTTTCTTTTGGTGATAAGATAGATCGTCAGGAATGATTCCACTGGCCAAGAAGTTGGCCACATCAGCATACCACGGAGTGTGAGTACTAATGGCGAGCAGTTGCTCGTCTGGGAATGATTCCTGAATATTTCCCCCGGCTGGAACTTCTTCTAGTATGAGTCTGGAAAGATGATATGCTACTACATTCTCGCTCCCCTTTTTGTCTCTGATTTCCAAGTTGAACTCCTGGAGTAGGAGTACCCATCTGATGAGTCGGGACTTGGCGTCTTTCTTTGCAAACAAGTATCGAATAGCTGCGTGGTCGGTGTAAATGATCACCTGAGACCCCAAAATATACGGTCTGAACTTATCAACGGCATAAACGACAGCAAGCATTTTCTTTTCGGTCGTTGAATAGTTCTTATGTGCTTGGTCAAGTGTACGACTCGAATAGTAGATGGCTTTGAAGATTTTGTCCCTCCTCTGTCCCAATACTGCACCTACAGCATAGTCGCTCGCATCGCACATGATCTCGAATGGTTCCTCCCAATTGGGAGTAATCATAATCGGTGATTGGGTTAGCTTCTCCTTGAGAAACGTGAAAGCCTGCAAACAAGCATAATCAAAATCAAAGACAGCTTCCTTCTCAAGCAAATGACATAATGGTTTTACAATTTTCGAAAAATCTTTAATGAATCTACGGTAAAACCCAGCATGCCCTAAAAAACTTCTAACCCCCTTGACATCCTTCGGTGGAGGCAATTTTTCAATCGTTTCGATTTTTGCCATGTCCACCTCAAGACCCTTTTTTGAGACCTTGTGACCTAGAACAATACCTTCACGAACCATAAAATGACATTTTTCCCAATTTAATACAAGGTTCATTTCTGTACATCTTTTCAAAACAAGTTCTAGATTGTGCACACAATGATCGAAAGACGATCCAAACACAGAAAAATCATCCATAAACACCTCAAGAAATTCTTCTACCATATCGTGAAAAATAGACATCATACATCGTTGAAAGGTAGCAGGCGCATTACACAAACTGAAAGGCATCCTATGAAATGCAAAAGTACCGTAGGGGCAAGTAAAAGTAGTTTTCTCTTGGTCTTCCGGGGCGATTGAAATTTGATTGTACCCCGAATAACCATCAAGAAAACAGTAATACTCGAAACCTCCTAGCCTGTCTAGCATCTGATCGATAAAGGGAAGGGGGAAATGGTCTTTTCTAGTGGCTGCATTCAATAATCGGTAATCGAAGCATACACGCCACCCAGTGACTGTCCTAGACGGAATAAGTTCATTTTTATCATTCACAATAACCGTCATCCCACCCCTTTTTGGCACAACCTGCACCGGACTGACCCACGGACTGTCAGAAATTGCATAAATCATACCAGCGCCTAACAGTTTTAAGACTTCTTTTTTTACTATCTCTTTCATTGACGGGTTTAACCGCCTCTGAGGTTGGACTCTCGGTTTATAGACGTCTTCCATTAGAATTTTGTGTTGAAAAATAGACGGGCTAATTCCCTTAATATCCTCAATAGACCAACCTATAGCCGACCTATATTCTCTAAGGACCTCCAGCAGTGTGTTTGTTTCGGCCTCGCTCAAACTAGAAGAAATAATCACCGGATAAGTCTTGTCTGCTCCAAGAAAAGCATAACAAAGATAATCCGGTAATTGTTTCAATTCCAGTACGGGGGCCGTTTTCACACTAACTGGTATCTCGGGGACAATTCCTACCTCGTCTACGCCTAAAATCTCGGCACACTCAAGAAACAACACACAATCAAGCACATCATTTTCAATAGGAGTTTCAGGGGAGGCAGAATGCAAATCAATAGAATTAACAATGCAGTGCTCAACAGAATCACATAATTCATACAAATCAAAAAAGGAGGAAACACAGTCCTCGATCACGTCTATTCTACTGCAATGCTCAACATGCTCAGAGTGTTTAAATGCATCTGTCAAATTAAAAACAACTTCTTCCCCATTTACCCTAAGCATTAAAGATCCTAATTCCATATCTATCATCGCCTTACCAGTGGCTAAGAATGGACGACCTAAAATGATTGGTGCTTCATCATCTTCAGGCATTTCAAGTACCACAAAATCAACAGGCAAAATGAATTTATCTACTTTAACTAGCACATCTTCTACAATCCCATCGGGATATTTCAATGAACGATCAGCTAGTTGTAAAGTCATGCGAGTGCGGTTCAAATTTCCTAAGCCCAATTTTAGAAACACAGACATAGGCATCAAATTAATACTTGCCCCCAAATCACATAAAGCTTTATCGAAAGTAGAATTTCCAATAATACAAGGAATAGTGTAACTCCCTGGATCTTTCATTTTCGGTGGTAGATTCGACTGAAGAATGGCACTGCAAGTTGCCATGAGTGTCACTGGTATGTCTTCTTCGATCCGAATTCTCTTGGATAGGACTTCCTTCATGAACTTGGTGTAGTTTGGCATTACCTCCAAGGCTTCTGCAAAAGGGATGTTGATTCGAATCTGTTTGATCTTTTCAATGAACTTCTTCAATTGATCCTTGAACTTCTTCTTCTTCTGTCTTTCCGGAAAAGGAATAGGAGTTATCATAAGAGGGGGATTATCAGGAAAAGAAATGTTATTGGGCTTACTAGCCTCTTTTGTACCACTCCCTGAAATGGTGATTTCCGGCTCGACCGGGGTCGGTTTTACAGCTGGCCTTGGTGACTCGTCTATCGGTTAAGGAGGATCGGTCATTTGCAAACCACTTCGGGTGGTTATGGCTTGACAGCTTTCTTTTGGATTGACTTCGGTATTGCTCGGAAATCCACCCTTGGCCATCGTGGACATGGATTGGGCGATTTGCCCTATTTGCTTTTCCATGTTCTTCATTGTTGATTTCAGGCCCTCCATTTCCTGTTTTTGTCAGTGAAGACGCTCGTCATATGTTGGCCCTCGTTGCTCTCTTTGATGGTTGAAATCGGAAGGTGGTTGTAGAGCATTCTTTGGATTGGCGTAGGAGAAGTTCTCGTGATTCCGAATTCCCGGGTGGTAATGAGTAGGGTTTTGGTTCTGATTGTTGGTTCCCCGGAAATTGTTGAATCGGTGGTTCACAAAGTGTGCCTGCTACTCGTTCAGTCTGTGGCCCTCGAACTGATAATTGGGCGACCTGATTTGATAGAGTAGCTAATTGTGCTGAAACTACGGCTAAAGGATCGAGTTGGTGGACTCCGGCCACCTTTTGTATACCACTCCGTTCGGACGGCCAATGGTAAGCATTCTCACACATTCGCTCGACAATGTCTCGAGCGTCTGTGGGAGTGTTGTTTTGCAATGATCCACCTGAGGCAGCATCGACTAAAGATCGGGCTGGTTGATCGAGCCCATTGTAGAATAACTCCATTTGATCCCACGGGTTGAATCCGTGTTGAGGGCATTGTCGCAATAAGTCCTTGAATCTCTCCCAAGACTCGTGCATCGGCTCTTGGCTCATATGTCTGAAATTGCCTACATCTCTTCGTAGTTGTGCGGTCTTCGAGGGTGGAAAGAATCGTGCCAGAAAGGCTTGTGATAATTCTTCCCAACAGGTGAGTGATCCTGGATTAAGACTCAGAAGCCAACTCTTTGCTTTGTCTCTGACAGAAAATGAGAATAGTTTCAACCGAATGGCATCATCAGAAACACCGTTAACTTTGATCGTGTCACAAATCTCCAAGAAATTGGCAAGATGGAGATTCGGATCCGCAGTGGCTGCTCCGGAGAATTGGTTCGCCATGACCATGTTGATTAGCCCCGTCTTCAGCTCGAAGTTGTGTGCGCCTATCGTCGGTTTCCTAATTCCCGAATAGTTCTCATTCACAGCTGGAGTTCGGTATTCTCGCATTGTTCGCTCGGGTGGCAGGTTCGGTCTTGGCTGCTCGTGATCTCGTCCTGGCTCTCGATCGTACTCAAAGGCCAGGTGCTCTGGATTTCCTTGATCTTCGGCCATTGGTTCACTTTCTTGGTTGCGCGCGGCCCTTCGTCTACGAAATGTCCTTTCAATCTCGGGATCGTAAGGTATGATTTCCAAATTTCGACGCCTGGGCATAAACAAAGTGATCGGTTAAAATCAAGGTAGAAATCGAAAATAAAGCAGGTAAATAGCTAAAGTAATAATCAGATAATTGGTAACACTATCAACAAAGATAAAATCAAATTGGTCCCCGGCAACGGCGCCAAAAACTTGATACGCATTTTTATACAGTATCGCATTTTGCAGAACAGTGGTTCCGGATATCAATCCACAGGGACCTTGTAGATTCACATACTGAGTAGTGTAATTATATTATCGTTATATTATCTAGTCGATCGTAAATATTTGGAAAGGTGATAAACCTTAATTTATAAGCATGCAAGATCGTAAACATGCAAATATGGAATGTGCGTAAATAAAGTAACGACAACTCAACGCGGGGGGACTTCGATTTAAATGGGACTTCTAGGGCCAAATCCACCTATGTATAATCAACAACGATCTACAAATCCGTTATCTAATGCCACATTCATATTCGTTAACCCAGACGCTAATGTACTCTAACCTCCGTCTCCAGTGTAGTTAGATTCTACCCACAGGTCCGACATCTCCGTTCAGAACCTGCTATTAAGAGAGCATTTAGGTCAAGTCCTTAAGGGCTACCCGAAGTGCATCACGTCTCCGTTTCCACACCCCGAGCTATGTTTTCTTAACTTCAAACAAGAAATCCTCTCTCGAGTTCATTCCTATTTAATATCAATCCGAGAGCTGATCAAACAATCAGAAGCATTTAATACAAGAAAACATAAACGAAATCGAAACACGACAAATAGATAACAGAAATGACGATCAAAATCAATATATATAAGGCTTCATTGCCCTAGAAGAAAATGTTCTTAGTTCATAACAAACATAGTATCAAAAGAATGTACAAAGGAAATGAAGAACAAAACGTAAAGAAATTGCGTAAGAAAAACCCAAGTTGAAACCCCCGTTGATGATTCCCGCGAAGAACTGTCGAAAACCGTAAAAAGTTGAAGAAGACGTGAAGAATGAAAGGGCCTTTCTATTTATAGTGAAATGCAAAGCTTCCTCAAGAAGCTTTGAAAAACAAAATATCTTTATCAAAAGGCGTGCCCAGATCGCGATCTAGGTTGTTTGGATCGCGATCTGGATCTTGACCCATTTCAGCACTGTAAGACCCCCCAGATCGCGATCCGACTTGCTGGATCGCGATCTGGATCTTGATCAATTTTCTCTCTGTGACAACCACCAGATCGCGATCCAGAGATGTCAGATCGCGATCTCTGGATCGCGATCTGGGTCTTCTTGGCCCCAAAATTGGCTTGAAAATTCGGTTTTGCTTTCAAATGGCTTCGACTCGGCAAAAATACATAATAAAACCCTGAAATAGAAATAAAACAAAAAACGCAATAATATATACAAATAAAGCCGAAACTCGGACGAATGAAGACCAAAACTCGAAGATTTGATAAGCAAAAACCGTGCAAAACGAACACTTATCATGGTGCCATATGAGAGGTCGCCCGCTGTCCATGAACCACTGTGACTCGGTAGGCTGCTGAAGTGTCACTATATTCAAACGGTTTGCGAGATCCACCACGTTGGCACTGTTGCAAGAACTGTAGCAACTGTTGATGGAGCTGTTAGAGCTGTGGGATGGTTGCTGGTGCGGATGAACCTGAGTAGGAGCCGAGTGGCCGGTGTAGGGTTCAGGTGGTCCAGTAAAGTAGGCTTGAGCCGCTGGAGTGGATGGGTGGCCCGATGTATTTGGAGCGGATCCCAAAATTAACGGTTGTCGGTAAGGTGCACGCCAGAGTTGAGATGTGCCATGAGCACTATGCATTTAATTAAGCATGGAGTTATGAAAATAATGGCCACGTCTAGAAAGAAAAATATTATTATGCAATCACATATTTCAAGTTATTAAAAGATAATTGAATAGAGAGTTCCACGCTCTTTAAACACATCTCTGTTAATAAAAGTGGATAAAAATATGTAACTAGTGAACTATGAAATCTTAAATGCATATATAATCTCAATTTCGTAAAGGGGTGTGTTAAACCCTACACTAAAATTTATTAAATCTCGCATAGTGATTAAAAATATTTTCTCTCTGACTTCTCTCTCTATCAAGCTCCTTTTTTCTCTCTCTTCAAACACAAATATTAAGTTACGATAAAAAAAATTAAATAGTTACTAACAATTATGAACAACATTAATTAAATATTAATTTGAATATTGTTAAATATTATTAAATAGTTATTAACATTTATACGACATTGTTAGATTATCAATCAAAAGAAAAAATACAACATTATTAAACGTTAAGAATATTTAATACATTTATTTAATATTAATAAAATATTCTTATATTTGAATTAAAAAAAATCTGAAAATGCACATTTCTTCTTCCCTCTAGCGCCAGCCATGGAAACGTTTTTTCTTTCTTATTGCGTCCACCATGGATGCACGACTAGGATAACTCGCGCTACGCGCCAACGCGCATTCACGCCCCTCCGACACACGCTCCAACGCGTTATCACACACCATTGACTACTACAATATTTACTCTCGACACGATATGTCGCCCATTTCAACATGACCCCCACATCGACTCGAGAGTGGGGGGCTTAATGATATGCCTAATTGGCCCAACCCAATGGGCCTACAAATTATTTACCTACTGGGCCACGAGCCCAATATCGAAGACCATTATCACCAAGGCTCAATCACCTTCAAGTAAGGTTTGGGCCCGACAATCTCAACTAAGTTATAAATAAAGGTTTGAACTCATTCCTTAAGGTACGTCCTATTAACTGAGCAATACTACAATACGTATTCTCTGGACTATTTCTATGATCAGCACGTCTGACTTGAGCGTCGGAGGGGTTTCCGCCGGATCAACCCCCGGCGTAGTTCACGTGTGTTCATTTCGCAGGTACCTCAGGATCATCAAGTTGTCAAGCTACTGATCTGCTTTGCTCTCCCAGTTCGTTTTCTACACTACCCCAGGTGATCTAAGTAATTAGCATCATCAATGTGGTTGATTGTGCTATGAACAATACATGAATTAGAAAATAAATAGAAATGTTCAGATTTAAGTATAAGGTTTCAATTTCTAGTTTTCATCTTATGAAATTGAATTAATGAACACATTATGTCCCTAACAAACCCTAAGTCCCAAAAAACATAGCGCTGCAATGCAAAGACTTCACCAACAATTGCAAAATTGAATTAATTATCTTAGGATTTTAGAGTGTATACTAATTTTTGTAAAAGATGAGAAGAGAAGTGCCGAAAATAAATAGGAAAAGAACAGAGTTGCGGGTGTGGGAGGATTTTAGAGAGACAATTTTTTATTTGTGTATGAGATTTGATAATATATTGTAAGGATTTAGCATTTTAGTTGTACGTATGAATTTTAATTCATGCATTAACAATTAATATTTAATTATTAAGGGATTATTAGCGAAAACCCCCTAACACATTAAGTTAAATAAGAATGACTATACCCCTATTTTGCATATTAGTGAAAACCCTCTTATTCCATATTTCAGTTTAACATAAATCCGAATTTTTAGTGGTATACCTGTATTACCCTTAATTCAAATAACAAACCCTATTTTTTTTCCTCGCCATTTTCTCTCAACCAGCCCCCCACCTCTCTCCCGTTTCTTTCCCCTGCCAACGCTCCCCATCCCCGCCCGACGTTGTCTCACGATCTTCCCCATTTTTCTTAACGCATCTTCCTTCCCTGCGATTCCATGGTGAAGGGCGGCAACTAGCGTTAAACAGACCGCCGCAATCACTCTCCCCTTACGCCTCCGCCTCGCACCGCCATCTCCTCCCCCTTCCACCCCCGGTTCTCCAATAACCG